GACCCGCGAAGGGGGCGAGGACTTAGTGAACCCTGGGGCGAGGAGGAGAGAGAATCAAAAACGGAGGGGGCGGAGGAGGGCCGGAAGGACAGAGACATCGGGGTGCAGGGGCAGGGAAGTGAGCCCGCCAGCCTCCAACCACTCCCTAACCGACCGCCCAAGCCCCACCCTGGCCACCCCCGCTGGAATTCCCCGTGTTGGCGCTCACCAGCCTGTCGGAGATGACGGGGGCGGGGCAAGGAGGGGGAAGAGGGGGATGGGGAGAGGGCTTAGTGGACCCTGGAAACGACAGGGCCGTTTTTGTTACCGGTTCCGTTTTGCCGTTTGTTTGCCGGTTCCGACGCCGTTTTTTTTATCGGTGCCATCGCCGTTTTTTGACTGGTTCCGGCTCCTGGTCCAATCCTGGAGCCGTTTTTTTGCCGTTTCCGGTTGCCGTTTTTGTTGCCGTTTCCATTTTCAAGGGGCATTTTTTCGGAAACGGTGAAAAAGCGGCCCTGCCGTTTCCGGGGCCCACAAAGGGCGAGGAGGAGCGAGACGGCTGCAGCGACGGCAGCGATGTGGCGATGTGATGTCGGTCGTCGAGATGAGGAACGTTGTGCGTTCGGACGGGCCTTGGCATTTCTTTCGTTCGCCCATGGGCCCTAGCATGACATGTCAGCCGTTTTTGTTTCTGGGGTTTGTAGGCACGATGACATCACAGAGGTCTTGGCGCTACGATTACCCTACAGGTATATCGGGTGTCATAGATGTAATGCTGCCATTGTTTGAGCAGATAGGCGTTGGGTGGATATTAGTCCAATTAGATACCGGCTAGGAACATGGTGATGACGATGATGATGCTGATGATGATGATGTTGATGATTCTGATGTGGTTGATGATGGTGTTGACGATACTGATGATTGTGTGGCGATGATGGTGAAAAGGAGGAGGAGGGGCAGAGGTATTCAACACTTGATGATTATGGTGATGGTGATGGTGATGGTGATAGTGATGATGATAGTAGTAGTAGTAGTAGTAGTAGTAGTAGTAGTAGTAGTAGTAGTAGTAGTAGTAGTAGTAGTAGTAGTAGTAGTAGTAGAAGTAGTAGTAGAAGTAGTAGTAGTAGTAGAAGTAGTAGTAGTAGTAGTAGTAGTAGTAGTAGTAGTGGTGATGGTGGTGGTGATGATGACGCTGCTGATGCTGATGATGATGATGATGATGATGGTGATGATACTGTCTATGGTGATGACCTGATGATGGTGATGGTGATGGTGATGGTATTTTGTGGAAACGGGGCTGATGTTCATTGTCGTGTGACACTGCCGCCCTGCCTGACCACGGTACATTCGTAGCATGTGCCCAGATATTTGAAGTGTAGTTCGCAGGTTTCTCATGCACGTCTAATAAGTTTTCGCTCCACACGCAAATGAAGGTAACCCAATTCTATGCGCTTCGCCTAGCCCCTCTAGACCATCCAAGAGCTAAATCCGCGCCATGCAGTGGAGCAGAGAGCTGGGGAGGTTGGTCGAATTGACGTTTTGATTCAGCCTGAGAAGACCCATGAGGAAGGGCAGACGACAAGGATGTGATGGGAGGAGGGAGAGGAGTAGGTGAAACGATAAAAGGAGGAGAAGGAGGACGAGGAGGAGGACAGAGGTACGCTACAAGCTTGCACCAAGAGTTAGTCCACCCAGAAAGAGGACGAGGAAGGCGAGCGCAAGGAATATCAGTTTCATGCACCACGCTCTCACTCATCTTCTGGTGAATCCTTGGAGGAAAAGGAAGAGGCAGAGGGTGAGAAGGATCAGAAGGAGGCGGGGGATAGACGGAAAAGAGAGGGCGGCGCAGATTAGGATTGTCTCCTTTGGTCTCGAACATATCCCCGTGGAGCCCTCTTGGGGTTGCGAGCTTTTTTTGTTCATTGTGTTGCCGATCGGCGCGGGCCCTCGCACCCCCCCCCCCTCCCACCCCCGTCATGGAGGAGATCTTGGCTGCTTTTGACGCCTGTTTCGAGCAGCTGCAGTCTCCCCCATGATGAACGCACTGCTGCAAACAGTCGCACTAAGCAGAGGTCCAGGGCCAGAACCCCCCCCCCTTACCCCCCCATCTTCGCTCAATGCCGGAACACCGAGTAAGAAAACGCTCACCTTGCTCTTGGGGCACTCTTGGTGGCTCTTAGGGGTCGTCTTGGAGGCATGCTGGGAGCCCCTGGGGCTCTCTTGGGGCTCATGCCGCCTGCCCGCTGCGAGCCCGTCCTGGGCCACGGCTAGAGGAAAGAGAACTACGCACACACACACACACACACACCGATTCTGGCCAGGCCCATCCTGAGCCCAGGATCGGTGCATATGCCCTCTTACCCTGGCCAGGAAGGTACATGCACCGATCCTGGATCAAGGATGGACGTTGTCCAGATCGGTGAATGTGCACAGTTCTCTTCGCCCGTGCACGGCAGGCGCGAGGACGCCGAGGATAGCAGCAGAGCTCTGCCGGAGGCCTGCGAGCAGAGCTGCGGCTCCAGGCCAGGGCCGCGTGCCGCGCTCTGCGGGGCGGGGACGCCGGTGCCTGGCCACGGCGGCGGGTGTCGCCGCGGTCGTGTCGGTGACGGCAGGCAGCCCGCCGCATCCAGAGTTCAGTCGGGCCTGTGCCTCTAATAACAGGAGGAATATTCAAACATAGTCAAAAATAATCAGGGGACGATTTCTTGACTATGTTTGATTGCTTCCCCATATCCTGAGACGGGGTTCTTGTTCCCCATATCCTAAGATGGGGTTCTTGTTATTACTTGGACGCCTCCTACTCCTTCCTCGTCTTCTCCTCCTCCTCCTCATCCTCCTCGCCCTCCTCATAATGCCTCGCCACCGCGGATAAGCGGTGCAGCCTGGGCTCCGTGTGGCACCGCCTGAATGCGGTGTGGGTCCGGTGATGTCAGATCCTTATCCCGCCCGCGTTCCGGGTGCGATAAGGATAGGGCGGAGGGCGGCATTTCCCGCTGGGAGGTTCGTGGTCGTTCGTTGTCGTCCTTCGTGTCTCGTTTCGTCGTCGTGTCCGTCGCCCTTTTCCTCTTTGGGAGTTGCGGCGCGGCCCTGGATTAGGTTCCATGGTGGACGTTGTTTGCGCTCCTGGGCCGGAGAGTGGCCCCCTCCCCCATCCCCCTCCCTGCTGCTGCTGCTGCTGCTGCTGCTGCTGCTGCCGTTGCAGCTGTCAGGCCAGGGCTTTTAGTGCCCTGCCACCTCGGCCAAGAGGCGCGGCCTGGGCGCGGGAAGACCCCAGTGGCACCTCCTGGTCTGAGGTGTACCGCCATTTGACGACCACGGAGGCGGGGCCCGCGGCTTTCCGCCTGCAACCTCTTGGTCGCAGTGCTCTTTGCCGCGGGCACACTGTTGCCGTGCTTGTGAGGGTGCGGGCGCTGGGCAACGCTCCGTGTATTGTCCCTTGGGCGCCGATCCCGAACCCCCGTGCGCCATTTTGGCGCGGGGTTTAGGGCGGTCCTCGGTTTGCTTTCTTTTCCTTGATTTCCTCCCTAAGGCACAGCGTTTCTGGCGCTATTGGGAGTTAGTCAAGGAAAGGAGGCCGGAGGTCAGGTCCCAGCTTGTGTCCGTGATTCCTTCTTTTTGCGCGTGTGCCCTTTGGTGTTGGCCGTTGGCCACGTTGGCCGTTGGCCAGGGCACGTTGGCCCGCACTTTGCTGAGCGCCACGGTTTTGTTCTGCCCTATGGGCCTGCAACATTGCCCTCCTCATACCTAGACTTACTTATACGCAAACTTACTCATACTCAGACCTGATCATATTAACTTACTCATACTCAGACCTACTCATACTCAGACTTACTCATGCTGGGACACACTCATACCCAGACTTACTCATACCCAGACCTTCTCATTGCCTGACTTATTCAACACACAGCAGAATCTGAGGATGTCTCAAGCGGGGCGCTGGTTTCAGCACTCCTAAGGGGAGCCGCCAAGGGGTATGACAGGGTCCCGTTCGCGGCGGTTTTGTGGTGATGTCTCAAGCGGTTTGCTTGTTTGCTGTTCCAGCATCCTTTGCTGAGAGAGCAGATTGTGAGGATGTCTCAGGCGGGGCGCTGTTTCAGCACCCTTTAAGGGAGCCGCTGAGGGGTATTGCACGGTCCCGTTCGCGGCCGTTGTGTGGGGATGTCTCAAGCGGTCTGTTTGTTTTCTGTCTCAACACCCTTCGCTTGGAGAGCAGATTGTGAGGATGTCTCAGGCGAGGCGCTGGTTTCAGCACCCGTTAAGGGAGCCGCCGAGGGGTATTGCACGGTCCCGTTCGCGGCCGTTGTGTGGGGATGTCTCAAGCGGTTTGCTTGTTTTCTGTCTCAGCATCTTCCGCTTTCGGAGCAGATTTGGAGGATGTCTCGAGCGAGGCGCTCATTTTCACCCCCCAGGTGGGCCAGATGTTGAGGATGTCTCGATCGTTTTGGTTGTTTGTGGTGGCCAGACTCGCGGGAACAGATTCTCTTCAGGATGCCACAGGAGGGTCCAACAGGCCCCAGGAGGCCCCGGGAGGCCACATGAGGTCCCAGGAGGCTCCAGGAAGCTCCAGGAGGTTTCAGGAAGCCACAGGAGGTGCCAGGAGGCCACAAGAAGCGCCAGGAGGCCTCGGAAGGCAATATGAGGCCCCCACAGGCCCCAGGAGCAGGAGGCCTCAAAAGGCAACAGGAGTGGCTCCAATCCCATGTGTTTTACGTATGCTCCTATTGATTGGGCCTCACCTGGAGCACGAATCCTTGATGTTATACGTATGTTTCTATAGATTGTCCTTCTCCTGTGTACACAGCCCTAAATGTTTGATTCTTCAGGCTTACGCCACATCCGCCGACCCCTTATGAAGAATCGCGCACTGGTCTGGTCGCCTCTTTGGGTGGTCTGAGGCCCCTGGGCCATTCTTGGGGCATTCTTGGGTTGTCTTGGGGCCCCTTTAGGCCGTCCTGTGGCAGTATTGGGCTGTCTTGGGGCTCTCTTGGGCTGTCATCGGCCTCTCTTGGGCTGTCATGGGG